CTGTCACAGTCTCTAGAGGAGCGGAGGTTGGAGGAGGCCCTCAGGACCTTGCAGAGAAGTGTTTTGAAGGTGTATAGTGAGCTGTAACATAAGAACTTGAAAGCGAGAATGAACAAGTGGCTGAAGAAAGTGAGATGAGAAGAGAATGTCAGTACTGGGGATAGAGTGGAGGGGAAAATGAAATGGGACTTGTTTTATAAACCCTGGGTTACTGGGAACATATACGTAATCAAACACATGCCCACATTTGCTCCAAACGGAGAGCTTTCCAACTTATTACAGTCCAGGTGTTTTTGCCAGCTCTAAAGTTTTAGTTTGCCAAAACTTAAATGTACTTTGCACACATTTTAATTAAATTTAGCTTACTTTTAATGATGTTAAATAAGTGAAGACAAGGCAGCTTTCATTACATGTATATTTGAGATCCACACATGCTTTTTTCCAGGCTGAAGTAATGTATTGGGATAAGGCCATTTAGGGTTGCATACGGTAATTTCCTGTTTTTTACCTGTTTGCACTGCTCAGGGCTCTAACTTTCCAGAAAACATTCCAAGCAGTTCTAGGCTGTCCCAAATTCCTATAGGTCCAGTGTATCATTATATAGTGCTGGGGTACTCAAATGGGGCCTGCCTTCACTAAGTACTTGTGGTGTGGTATATGATTGAAAGAAAAAAAAGACTAAATAATAGACCATCCAGTTATGCTACATTATATTATTACATACGTCTTTCTTAAGCTATGTTAGCTTTTTAAACATAAATTTGAAAAACAAATAAGTGGCTGCAATAACTTGGCTTACTGTAAGTTCATAGTTACCTACTGTGATCGTGGTTTCCTCCAAATTATTGGGTATTAAAGGCTATATCTTGTTTTCCAACTGCCAAACAACATGTTGTGGTTGTGGTGTAGCATTGCATCTTAAAGACAATGTTTTATCAGCCCATAACTACTTAAACCCTAGCCTTATTATTTATTTATTAATCTGAAGGCTTATTATCTCATAACCACTATGAATTATAGAATATAATTTCACTCAGAGTGATGAGGGGAAAACTGATGAGGAGAAGACAAGACTTAGAGTTTAAGAGCTTAACTTATATAGGCACTCCTAACCATCTAGAAGGTTTGACAATGTAAATTATACAACAACAATGCAGTGTCTTGACATAGATGAGTGACTGATGCCATGGGTTTGTAGGTTTATGACTGATTGACTGTTGTCATGAAGTGTATTATTAAGGATTTTTTTCAATGGGAATACCATACTTGGATCTATAGTCTTCCTAGTGCTGATTTACAGTTCTCAAAACTCACCACTAAAACCATGTATTTGCTCCAGATAGAGACACATCAAATCATCTGCAACTAAATCTGTATTACAAGCTGGATGATGATGTTGGATCTTTTTTTTTGTTCCAGTTTGGAATAGCTGTCTGACCGTAGAGAATATAAGTTGGAAATACATGCATATATTGGCTTGCAAAATTATACATGGTCAGGGAAACTTAGGATGTAGAGAAAGTCTAATTACAGGGACTGGCTTCCTTCAATCTGGCAAGGACCTCAGATAAATTATTATGACCACCAAAGATCAAAATATTTTGTTTGCCTGACATTGTAACAGTCGAAGAACGCTTTTTCATGCTATATAGAACCCTTTTTAAAATGTTCTATATAGAACCCTCTACAGCACATTCTCCATGAATCTGAAGAGCTCTTTCACAATGCAAAGAACTATACGGAACCATTTTGTTTACTAAAGAACCCTTGAAGAACCATCATTTTTAGGTGTGTACACATGTTGCCCCTTTTATCAACTGCATTTACCATATAGGTGTATTCGCTTTTTTTTTTACAGACTTTTACAGTTTTTACAGACTGTAGTCCATCAGTTTTTTTCTGCATATGTTGTCCCCATTCACTCTGTTCTTCAATGGTCCCCCAAGGGCCATGACAGAACACGGAATATTTGGGTGGTAGATCGTTCCCAGCACTTCAGTGACACTGACATGGCATTGTCGTGTTAGTGTGTTGCAGTGCTGAGAATGATCCACCACCCAATTAATACCTGCTCTCTAGTGGTCCTGTATGCAGAGTAACAGATGGACTACAGTCTTTAATTGTAAACCTTCAAAGTTTACCTGTGTGGTTCTGATAAAATGGACAGTGAGTTCAGAAACAAGAAGGTGTTTTTAATGAAGTAGCTGGTCAGTGTATATAGCAACTTTATGATGATGTTTTAAGATGTCAAAATGAAGTGATTCTGAGCGCAAAGTGGAGAGAGAGAAAGCAAACTGGAGTTAATGTGTCTCAGTACCCAGAGTGCTGAAGACTATCATGCTAGATCTGCGTAGACATCCTTACTCTGTTCAAGAAAAAGAGAAAAAAGGAGGGCTTAATACTTCTGGCATGGAGTACATGAGAAAGGTCATTAAACATGTAATGTCGCTAAAGCCTGTAATCTGATTTAAAGCTGAATAATAAAATGATGAATCCGTCTTAGAGGAGGATGAGAGCTGAGTATGGCTTATGGCATGTGTAGACACTTTTGCACACATGCACACACACACACACAAGAAGGCTTTTTTGCAAGTTTTATCTTGGATTATTATGCGTGAAGGTGCAGAATCGCTGGGAAAGCCTGCTTGTGATGGAAATTATCAATTCGTTAGGAGTCTTATAGTGACACACTATAGAGAGAGACCAACTGCTAGTCTTGTTCTGTATGTAGATAGCATTTGTGTTTTTGGAAGGTAGTGGGAGACAGTAGCAAAAGTGATCAGCAAAGAAGTATTTGTGTTTAAGGAAAATAGAGGCTTTGTAAGTCCTCTGAATGAACTAGAGCTAGCATACCTATTGAATCCATTACAGCAATGGAGAAGTTACTTAATACACACACATACCTGTAAACACATATACATGTGAGGTGAGTAGAAAGAGAATGATGAGTCATTGATCAGTTTATGTACTTAATCACAAGTTGAATTCTAATCCCACAATATTTTTGCCATATTCCGTGGTTGTTGACAGCTTTATATGTGAATACTCTCCCCACAATTTCACAAAACAGCAGTGTAGGCCATGTGAATATTGAAAATAGTCAACAGAATAGAACTTTAATAGAAGAATAAAGAATGGGGGAACAAATAAACTCAAGATTTTTTTATGTATTGGCTTAGACTTGTCTTTCTATTTGGACTTGTCTTGATCACAGGCATCTGTCTCATGAAATGTCTTGTATTTTTTGTATTTTCCTTCTTTTAATTGTTAATGTGCGTGGACTTGCACTTAAGCAACTTGATAGCGGTTAAATTGGGCCAGAGCACACCTCTGATTTGTGAGAAATTTTAAAATGTGAATTACTTTAAATACAATTTTTCTGAAATATATTTTACTGTTCCATGTGACCATGCTGAGAAATAACCTCTGAGGTTTAGACTAGAGTCCCAACATTTACAGATTCTCACACCTCCTCCCTCAAATTGATTGTTTTTTTTTGTTTTTTTTTTTTGCCATTGCATGTTTAAGTTGCACAGCCTCATACCATTCTGCCAAATTTCACCATCAAGTAAGTACCTGTATGTCTGATGATGTTTTAACTTGATAGACTTGTTTAAATTCAATTATACCTCAACAGGTAGCCAGGATTATTTGCTGGGATTTATCCCGTTTAAACAAAAGTAATTCTAAAGCATTCTGTCGGTTATCTGGCCAAGTGGGCAGAGCCAGATATGGGTGTCACTAGCTAGAACATTTGTTCATACAGCAAGCCTGTTGCATGTAAATGTTTTTTTCCCAAATTTTACAGCCTTGCATAACTATGATGATTAGCTTACCGTTTTGCTGACTGTTGCTAAATGTACTCAGTAGTTTTAAAAGCAGGTTTTTTTAAAGACTTTCATCTTTGTCAGACAAAATCAGAAAATATACTTATATAATTTTAATGACAAGACTGGCAGACAGGAAATACTATAATATAATTATTGAGGAGACACAACATACTCCTGAGACTCGGCAACAATTTGGTAACCATAGGCGTCTGAACACTGTCATGAAAAATTGTCAGCAGGGAGCGGTGGTGGGCTAGCTGCTATCTACCTTGAAAATAAAGGAAACTGCTTTCTATGACATAATGTTTTTGGAACATGTGATCTTAAAAATTGAAAAAATGTTAGTCCATCTCCTCTGCTAGTTGTATTGAGGTATTTTATTATGATTTTAATTTGATGGAGGTATTTTTGTACATGTAGTTTTGTTTTGTGGAAACTTTACATTGTTGCAGTTATTTGTACTGGAAGCAGATAAAGACTTGCAAAGGCTTGGTCTTGAAAATAACTTTTTTGGGTTTTGGTCTTGACCTGGTTTTGCTCTCAGTTGAACTCAGCCTTGACTTTTTCTCTGCCCCCTTTAGACTCAATCTGGCCTCAGTCTTTGAAATGTCTTGGACTCAACAAAGTCCAAGACAAATCATCTTCACTACAGGCCTGCCAAACAACTCCTCACGTAGAAAACAAACAATAGAGGATGAAGGGTCCTCCACTCAGCAAGTCACTTATCTTCACTAATACTGGTACTGGTAGATTGTTTCACTATGCCTTGCCGACTGTATTCACAAGGTTTTACTATTGAGTGTTGCTGAGAGGATTTGTGCAGGAAGTAATGCAATTGATTAGTCTGTAAGCGGAGGCTAGTAAGAGAGGCACTGCCATATCGATCCTGTACTTGCAAGAAATCTCTTCTTTCTGATTCTGTTGGCCTGTAACTGAAGTGATTTATTTATTTTTATTTTTTCTGGTGGCAGGGGGTTTAGGAATGATTATCTGCAATACTAGATTCTTATGTTTCTAAGGTGTGTGTTTTTCACAAAAATGACAAAGAAAGGTATTATGTTTTTGCAAGATTAAATCCTATCCAGTTTGGAGGTAAAAATTTTACTGAATACTTTCCCTCCCTGTTTCTCTATCTATATTTCTCTCTCGCTCTCTGTCTCCGTTTGTCAGAAGGATATGGCTCTGAAGCCTCATGAGCGGAAAGAGAACCAGGCTCTACGGCTGCAGAAGAAGCGACTAGGCCGGGTGCCTAATGGACTGAATGTGGACCTACGTAAGAGCTGCCTCCACAACCAGCAGCAGCATTCAGACCAGGAGAACCGTCCACGCCTGGCCCGAGCACACAAGAAGAAGAAAAAACATCCCAAGAGAAGAAACAGAGCAGTGAGTTTTTGTTTACCTCTTCTATTCAGGCTGGTGTTTGGAGCTTCATCAAGAGATGAGAGCTGATGGATTTTTTTAATGGCTTATGAGTTGATGGCAAGAACTTTGAGTAACAACAGCTCACCACCATCATCTGTATCAATACTATCACATGATATTGATATTAACTATTTAAATTAGTTTTGGCATTCAGTGATTGGATTGATTTTCTTGGATCATTTGGATAAAAAGAGTGATTAATGCAGGTAAAATATGAAATAAAAAGTAATGCAATTAAAATAAATGAAATAAGGACAAATGTAGTATCTTCAAAGGTAAGGTGTCATATGAGGCTTCTGTCTTTCATTCAAGCGCCTTACAAAGGAGGTGTAAGAATCAAACTCAAAGACACAGCTTGAAAGGACTAATTGCCGATGATCATTAGTCATCTACTTGCCTGATCTAATCAGGGAGTTAATTAATGTGACATAAGCTTTTAGAGACCTGCAGAATCTTTTTAGTTGTAATTATGGTGTGGGTAAGAGGAAGAGGTGTGTGGCTATTTGTAAAGGCTAAATTGTTATATTTTTTGAAGAATGGGATAGAAAGATGGAAATGGAGGGTAAAGGGCAATTATGAGGTGTTGAGGGAGAGAGGGAGAGAGAGAGAAGACTATAGAGGTTTAACAGTACATTGTGACACGATACACTAGGGCTGAATGATTTGAGTAAAACAACTTATTTTGATATTTCTGAATAATGTTGCATTACAAATGTGATTATGTTCTATAAAAAGACCCCCCTCCCCGTCTTTTTTCAAAATCATGTGCAATTCTCATTATATCTTTCATTAATCATTCATTATCAATGCACTTGAACTTTTCTTCATCCAAATTTTCTAAAAAATATAATGAGAATATTGAATAGTGAAACCTGTATCATGAATCGAATTGGATCATGAGCTCAGTGTATCGTTGCTGTTCTCTTTTAAAGTGCTAATTAAATTAGTCACTGTTATTACTATGAGGTGTCATTTAGGTGTGTGTAGTAAATGAGAACATAAATGTGTAAAGGGCTTTCCTTGTCAGTCCCCTGATATTGCTAATGAGTGTTTATGGCACATTTGCTCAGAAGTGTTGCTGCTGCAAAGTATCACTTAAGCACTGGGGTGGACAATCACTCCCTCTCTCTCTCTCTCTCTCTCTCTCTCTCACACACACACACACACACACACACACACACACACACACAAACACGAAAATCTCATGATAGGAATAGCAAAGGTCATTATAATATCAGATCAGACACAGTAGTGCTGCTGGAGTTTTTTAACATTTAAAGCTCACTGGAAGAAGATAAGTGTAAGTTAATGTATTGTGGTAAAATATACAGTACTGGGCAAAAGTCAGTCTGCCCTTTCACTTAGTTAATTTCCAGTAAGTTATTATTTTCAGTGTCAGAAACAAACAGCAAACTTGTTTGCAGACTTTTTTGTTTTATTTCAAAGCCTGTTTTATTCTCTTGTTGTTTTTATTATCTCTTCATAATTTTATAATAATTAATCAAATATAGTTAGATGTAATGCCATAAAATGCATAATACCTTTTAATCATGGATCTGTTTAACATGACCCGTGAGCCTTGTAAGCTGTTCACACCTGACACTCTTCACACAGTTTAAAGCAGTTTGCTCCATCTGTTGGTCTAAGATTAAGTACACCTATACAGAACAGAATGAGATCTAAACAAACAGTATTTATCAATCAATCAATTACACCCAATTTACACCTCTACTGACAAACGTAAGGATAGCACATGAAAAATTATAGATAATATTATTATTAATTTTATCAGCTACATCAGGCCCACTCAAAAAGCCTCTCCAAGATTTCCTTTTATACATTTACAAATATAAAATACTATATTATACAATATTATACAATGGCTTGGCTGAATACTTGATGGTTATTATTTACTGTGAGATGGGCATCCACTCTGCCCTGTAAGCATTTTAAATTCAATATTTAATCAATGTCAGTCCATTGCTTCCCATTTTGTAGTAGTCCAGAGTTGTAACTAAACCTTGACCAAGTGACTAGATAATCATTGCCTTGTTTAAAAATGATGTGCACCTATGAGGAGTGTACCATCACCCCCATGTACTGTCTGTTCTTGTCTCCACAGTGCTGCAAGGCACGAGTTTCATTTTGTGCATGCGCATATGAACATGTTTATGTGTGTTGTGGTTATCTCTGCAGTTTATAAACCCTGTTGCCTGTCGCCATTCATCAAATGTAGCTCATCAACTTGTGTTTGTTAAACGTTACTGTTATTTGCTGACATCAAACTTGGAGAGGAAAGAACAGAAGTTTACTTGACTAGAAGATTACTGCTTCATCCCATACATACAGACACCCACACCCACACACACAAGATATACATATATTGAAATTGAAAATGGTATTGTATTGTGGTACAAAAACAGCAATACGTATTGTATTGTGAAATTTGTGTATGGTTACAGCAATAATACAAGCTCTGTGTGTGCATTTGATTGCGTGGTCAGCAGTGGGTGCACTTAACTTACCAGAATTCAGTAATTAGAAGGGATCACCAAGCATGTAAATGTTCTGCATGACCATACAGATGCTTGACTGGCTGTTTTATGCTGCAGCATTATGGATGTGGCATGTAGCACAGTGAGGCTTAAATTGGAAGCCTGGCGTTTCAAGCCTCTTATGCATTTTCTGAGGTGAGACAAAGGTGGGTGCCGTCCGTATTTCCCATAGAAGGAGAAGGTCTTTCTGCATTCTTTAAAAACTCATCTAAGGAATGCAAAGCATTAGGTCATTTTAAGGTCACCAGGTCACATCTAGATTTAATTCTCCATTCATTTATTTTCTCGTCCTTGGAGAACTGGGTTGTTATCAGAGAAACAGTGAGAGGGAAGGTCAGTCAGAAAGACGCATTTAAAGGGAAATTAAGTCAGCAGTAGCTTTATCTCAGCTCACTCAGATTTCTGCATAATGTGCTTTGTCTCTGCCACTGAGCCAATGCGCTGAGCTTTCTCCTATCTGCTGGAGGAAGAAAACCACTGCCATAGATTTTAACAGTGTGACATATTGCCCCTCATATCTCTCTGATAAGAGTCTTCTTAAAGTGGAGAACATACAGTTTCACACCACAGTTTACTGCTTTGACGAGTGCCTTACTATGAAGCTGCATGAAATTGTCTTTTTTTTAAAGAGTACCATTATAATGAGAAGCCACAGAAGGTATGGCATATTTATTGGCATTCATTACAACCTATCTACTTGAAGTGTGTATTTGGCTTCACTAGACATGTGAATATTTGATAATCTCTGTCTGAATCTTGTCTCCACCTGCCTAGTACAGTGTTTTCCTTACAGTGTAATTGTAATGTGACCTCTATGCAAGTTGTGTTCTTTGTGTATTTGATGCATGTCTTTTTCTGTGTGTGTGGGGGTGTGTGAATAGTAGCGTGCTGTGAGGCCCATCTGGCCAGAAACACACTCTCTGGCCTTGCCACTGGGAACTCTGTTCTGTTGTTGCCTTGGTGATGTGTATGCAGTGTGACACTGCTGAAAGGAACAGAGGGGCAGTGTTGTACAGACCAGCAGGTCTTCACTTTCAACTCATCAGTCACCACTGTGTGTGTGTGTGTGTGTGCATCTGTGTGTGTGCTGTATGTGTATGTTCGTGCATTCATTTGTGTGTCTGCGTGTGTCCCACTGCCCTGGCTACAAGTCATATCAATTGGACTTTATTTTGGTGAGTGTCATAATCATGGCATATAGATACAAGATGCCTATTTCTTTATTTTTCTCTCTCTACTTACCTGTCTTTCTTACTGCACTCTCTTGCTTTCTATCTTTTTTCCATTTTCTTGTACTTTGCTTTGGGGGGGAGGAGATGCTCATTGGCCTGGCTGGAGTGTGTCTGGGGCTGAAACAGACTTATATCTGATCAGTAGAGCAGCTGAATGGGCTATTGGGCTGCTGGTTGATCAGCAGAACATTACAAAGTTATTCCTGGTGGTCAGGGATGGGGGAGTAGCTAAGTAGCGTGCTACTTTTTGTAGTTAACTAAATTTTTTTTTTGTAGCTAATAGCTGTAGTCGCCACAGTTTTATGAAATGTAGCTAACAGCTGTAGCACCTACAGATTTTTTTTTGTGTAGCTATAGTGATAATTTTCGCTACAATTTCGCTACAGGCTTCAGTCAGTCAGCGCAAAATGTGAACCACAGAACGCGGTCGTTAACCTGGCTGGTGGTGACTGTGCAATCCTGACTGAGCTGCGGACAGTTTGAGCAAACAGACACGCGCTGATCACCCCTTACCAGTAGGCTTAGCTCAGGGGTCACAACCGAAATGTTAAGAAGAGTCATTTTGTCCATTTTGTCCACGTTCACCTTAGGAGCCACAATATTTTATGTCCATTTTACCATCTTGGCTGTAAGTATGTCTCAGTATGTGCTAATGTACTAGTATAGGCTACTAGTACAGGCTAAAAATAAAATAAACAAAAACGCAGACTTACTTTGCTTTTCTTTAACCTTCAGCTCAGCTATAGCCGCTTTCCTCACACCTCAGTCAGGAAACTTCTCCGCGAGTTTCTTGTAAAATGTCTCTCAATGTTCGACTTTGTACGAGGCTGAAGCCGCTTCTCATTCTCCTACTTCTTGTTCAAATTGTCCCGTTCCACCTTAAATGGTACCTGAGGTGCCAGATTGCACTGCTGCACCATTTAAGGTGGAACGGGAGAATTCTAACGAGAAGTAGGAGAATGAGAAGCGACTTCAGCTTCGTGAGTTGTTGCAGATGAAACGTATCAGGAAACCAGCCGAGTGCTTATAAATGCAAATAAGTCCATTCGTCTCCAAATTATCGATGTTCGTCTTAAATCTCTCTCTTTGCCTTTTCGTTATCTGCATTGCTGTGTGACCAGCAGCCTGCGCATCAGTCTTCAGCATTAAAGGTTGGTGAATTAGCAGGTATGCA